AAATCTGGAGACAATATTAAACCCGGCAACCTCGGTGTTCTGTAACAGGGTCCAAGAGGAACAGGCCCAAAAGGAAAAGTGAGATGAGAGAAAGGCTGCAGCCTTAGTCATGGCCCTCAGACAAGCAAACCTTGATGGTTCAGAGAGGACAGAAAATGGAGCAGGCCAATCACCTGGTAGGGCTTGTTATCAGTGTGGTTTACAAGGACACTTTTTAAAAGATTGTCCAATGAGAAACAAGATGCTCCCTCATCCATGTCTGCTGTGCCAAGAATATCACTGGAAGACGCACTGCCCCAGAGTGCAAACGTTCTCTGGGCCAGAAGCCCACAACCATATGATCCAATGACAGGACTGAGGATGCCTGGGGCAAGCACCAGTTCATGTCATCACCCTCACTGAGCCCCAGGTATGTTTAACCATTGAGGGCCAGGAAATTGACTTCCTCCTGGACACTGGCACAGCCTTCTCCTGTCCCAAACGACTGTCCTCAAGGTCTGCTACTATCCAAGGAATCCTGGGACAGCCTGTAACCACATATTTCTCCCACCTTCTCAGCTGTAATTGGGAGACTTTGCTCTTTTCACATGTCTTTCTTGTTATGCCTGAAAGTCCCACACCCTTATTGGGGAGGGATATATTAGCCAAAGCTGGAGCTATTATCTACATGAATATGGGGGGAAAGTTACCCATTCGTAGTCCCCTGCTTGAGGAGGGAATCAACCCTGAAGTCTGGGCATTGGAAGGACAATTTGGAAGGGCAAAAAATGCCCATCCAGTCCAAGTCAGGCTAAAAGACTCCATCAGTGTAATTACACCCTACAACTTCAAGCCCCAGCTGATCACAGTAACTTCTGAGTCACCCAAACAGCTCCATTCAGACGACTTGTCTGCTTCTCAGGGCCTCCAAAAATCATCACCTCCTCCCTGCTTAACAAACAGTCCAGGTTTTGTAATGGCAAACATACTCCGTGCATGACCATTCACCCCTGGACACCCCCTGCAGCAGCGTCCCCACCACTACTGAATGCCTCCTCACGCCTTCTCTCAATCACTCTCTCAAATGGTTCCTAGTAGAAACAAAACAATTTTTTCTCCAATAGGAAAATAGAACACAGGGAGCCAGTTTTCTCCCAACACTCCTTTCCAGCCACTCACTGGAGCTACCTTGGCAAGTACTCTAGGAGTATGGGAAAATGAAAACAACAAACTCACACACCTTTTTAACATACACAACCAGTTCTGTCTACCCAGCCAAGGTATATTCTTCTTATGTGGAACTTCAACTTATATCTGCCTCCCCACTAACTGGACAGGCACCTGCACCTTAGTTTTTCTAAGTCCCAACATTAACATTGTCCAAGGAGATCAGGCCCTATCAGTACCCCTCAAAGCTCAAGTCCGTCAGCACAGAGCCATACAACTAATACCCCTACTTACAGGGTTAGGAATGGCTACTGCTACAGGAACTGGAATAGCCAGTTTATCTACTTCATTACCCTGCTACCACACACTCTCAAAGGATTTCTCAGACAATTTGCGAGAAATAACGAAATCTATCCTTACTCAACAATCCCAAATAGACTCTTTGGCAGCAGTGACTCCAAAACTGCCAAGGCCTAGACCTCCTCATTGCTGAGAAAGGAGGACTCTGCACCTTCTTAGCGAAAGTGTTGTTTTCACTCTAACCAGTCAGGGATAGTATGAGATGCCACCTGGCATTTACAGGAAAAGGCTTCTGAAATCAGACAACGCCTTTCAAACTCTTATACCAACCTCTGGAGTCAGGCAACATGGCTTCTCGCCTTTCTAGTTCCTGTGACATCCACCTTGCTATTACTCGCCTTCAGACCCTGTATTTTTAACCTCCTTGTCAAATGTGTTTCCTCTAGGATCAAGGCCATCAAGCTACAGATGGTCTTACAAATGGAACTCCAAATGAGCTCAACTCACAACTTCTACCAAGGACCCCTGGACCGACCCACTTTCACTGACTTAAAGAGTTCCCCTCTGGTGGACACTAAAATTGCAGGGCCCCTTCTTCACCCCTATCCAACAGGAAGTAGCTAGAGCAGTCATCGCCCAACTCCCAACAGCAGTTGGGGTGTCCTGTTTAGAGAGGGGATTGAGAGGTGAAGCCAGCTGGGCTTCTGGGTCAGGTGGGGACTTGGAGAACTTTTCTGTCTAGCTAAAGGATTGTAAACACACCAATCAGCACTCTGTGTCTAGCTAAAAGTTTGTAAATGCACCAATCAGCACTCTGTAAAATGGACCAATCAGCGCTCTGTAAAATGGATCAATCAGCAGGATGTGGGTGGGGCCAAATAAGGGAATAAAAGCCGGTCACCCAAGCCAGTAGCGGCAACCTGCTCATGCAAAGGTCTGCGGCTTCACTCCTGAAGTCAAGCTAGACCACGAACCCACCAGAAGGAACTCCGGACACATCTGAAGGAACAAACTCTGGACACACCATCTTTAAGAACTGTAACACTCACCATAAGGGTCTGCGGCTTCATTCTTGAAGTCAGTGAGACCAAGAACCCACTGGAAGGAACCAATTCCAGACACATTAGGAGAAATACCTAATGTAGAGGACGGGTTGATCGGTGCAGCAAACCACTACCTATGTAACAAACCTGCACGTTCTGCACCTCTATCCCAGAAATTAAAGTATAATTTTAAAAACATACCATGAGAAAGAAAAGCCTTCCCCAGATGATTCCAGTGTGCAGCTAGAACTAGGACCTTTAACCTACAGTGTTCCTCTTCAAATACCTGACTGATTCCTATTCTTTTTCACATCCCACAGTGATCAGCATTTCCTAAGGTGGACCTTTCCCTGCCTGCCTGGACTATGTCATATCTACCATATCACCTACCCTCAGAGCCACCATGCACCACCCCTTCATGATTGTAATAGCTAGCATTTATCAAGGCCTTAATATGTGTAGGGCACCATTCTAAGAGATTTACTGTTTTCACACACAAAAAGAAGGTGTCTCAAAACTAAGAAGTGAGTAGCTGAAATTCTGCATCTTTGCAGAACAAAATCAATGGCAATTAGCTTTTTTAAAAACAAACTTGAGGTCTGGTACTCTGCTTGGGATCTCTTTTTGACACTGTTTCATGCCTTCATCTTAGTTATCTCCAAAATAGGTTGGGGGATGAAATCTTGTCATTCCAATTATTAGGTGCAGGAGGTCAGGAGTGGGGGGAACTAGCTGCTAGTGAGTAGAGACCAAGGATGTAACTAAACATCTTACAATGTTGCTAAACACCTTACAGCCCCTGCCACAAGGAAGAATTCTTTGCCCAAAATAGCAATCAAGTGCTGAGGTTGAAAAACTCAATCTACTTAAATAAAAGTGCATGTGTTCAGTGCAGAGAAATAGGACTTTACATCAGTAATGTTTATTGAGTAGAGGTAGCAGACCAACCAAATTTTGTGAATAGCTTCTTCAGTGAGGTATCATTTAAACCCAGATCCATTAACATTTTTAAAATTTTACTTTATCACACTTAAACAAAAAGGAGAGCAAAAAGGAAAAAGCTGCTTTTTCTGTCTGTGGTTTGTATAGCTTTGGCTTCATTCATTCACAGTATTGAAGATTACCTCATTTCCTTTTCAGATTCTGGAAAGAGACACTGTGGTTTTGGGAATAACCATTTGAACATTAAACCAGTTATTCACAGGAAGAATAGAACAATGATCTGAATAAGAAAATCTTCCCACAGAGAATTAAGCTTGAATTACCCAATCACATACTGTAGATTTTTTTCAGATCAACGGTGTTAAAACAGATTCTTAAAAGAGGCAACTTACGGAGAAAGCCAGAGACTGGGACCACAGGGGCAGAGATTCAAGTCCTCGTTCAATCATTTCCCAGCTATGTCATCATGAGCATATTATTTACCCCTTCAGAACTATTTCCAATTGTATGAAATGAGGATCAAAATGCTACCACTCAGGACTAATTTGAGGATTATTGAGGTGATATTAATAAATCAACTGGCAACTAATTTGAGGATTTAATGAGGTGATATTAATAAATCAACTGGCACACAGTAGAAAGATAGCAAGTGACAACTTATGTTGTTATCCTCGTCATCATCATGACCATCATCATCAACTTCTTTACCCCTCTTTTTCTGGTAGGCATGGGGATACTAGCCACTTCATGTAAGTCAAAGCAAGAAGAAAATGAGTTGATGCATTTGACACTGCTTACACATAACTGGCTTTCAGTACATTCATTCATTGAATAAACATTGCATGCTAAAGGGTGTGAGGAACTGCTCCATCAATGTAAAGATCAGCAAATATCCCTACCTGGTGATATTTACATTTTAGAAGGAGATAGAAAATAAATGATACACACAATAAATAAAGTAGCATATTAGAAGATGATAAGCACTATGGAAAAAAGTAAAAAATACAGTAGAGTAAATGAGATCAGGAGAAGCAGGTCAAGGTTAGCCCCACTAAAACTAACATTTCTGTATGTTAGGGGGAGAACAAAGGTTGTTAAAGGTATTCCTAAGAGCAGTAAACAGTATTGCTCTCACCTTCTTTAGAGTTACTATAGTAGCTCTAAAGCAAAAAAACACATTTATTTTATAAAAAGCACCGAATTCTAGGAACCATCCTTGCCCTCACCCACCACATGATTACCTTCATGACCCTGATCCCCTCTTCCAACAGCAGAGCATACGCAGTGGTCTTCCCTCGAAGGTACACAAACCAGTGGCGCTCCCTGACAATCTACTAAGGAGTCTGGAAGTGCTCTGGCAAATTTAGAGAAAAAAGTGATGGAACAAATTTTTAATATACAACTGACAGAAATGTTGCCATATTCTTTTTTTCAAATGTTCCAACAAGATGCATATACACTATAAGGGCTGCACACATCATGTCACTGCTACTAACAATCAACTGAGACCCATTTTTTTCTCATGAATATGTTCTTATATTTATGTGCTACTACTTACCTATGTAAATATATTTTTTTTTACAGCTTGTTGTACTTTAATGTGTAATACTTAACTCAAGGTACAAGACAATTGCATTTAACATTGTTATAAATAAGAGAGACATCAGATCAATCACTAAGGGCTCCAGAGTGAACAGCATCTTCATAACTTCCATGTTTATCATCTTTACTTTCTGGATATAATTTAATAAGATCATCAATTCGAAGAATGGTAATTGCAGCTTCTGTTGCAAATTTCAAACGCTTAACTGTAACTATGGGTGGTTCAAACACCCTTGCTTGTTTGTTGTCTCGAGGTTTATCGTTGCTCAAATCAAGACCAATCCGTTTAGATTTTTACATTCTGGGTTAACCTGAGCCACATTATGAAAAGCTCTTAATTTTGCAATCAGATCTGTGGAGTCCTGGGCAGCATTAACTGCTAGTGTATTGGGAATAACAAGAAGTGATCTTGCAAACTCTGCAATAGTAAGCTGTTCCCGAGACCCCATGCTGGTTGCATAGTTTTCAAGGTATATGGAAAGGGTTGCTTCTACAGCACCTCCTCCGGGAACCACAGATTTTGACTCCAAAACTCTCTTCACTACACAAAGTGTATCATGTAAAGAGCGCTCCATCTCATCACACATGAAATCATTTGCCCCACGTAAGATAATCAATGCAGATGTATGAGCCTTGGTGTTTTTGATTAAGATCAGCTCAATCTCACAAATTCTCTCCTGTACCACTTCTTCTGCCTGTCCCAACATTGCAGCTTCAAAAGTTTCTTCACCTTCCAAATTGGCCAGGGTTGACAGAATAGTTGCTCCAGAAGCTTTCGCAAGGCATTTAAGCTCCCTTTTCAAAACTCTTCTAACTGCCATAGCACCAGCCTCCACAAAATACTTCAGACACATATCATCAATTCCACCAGTGGTTAGAATAACATTGGCACCAGTCGCCAGGATCTTCTGAATTCTCTCCTTGGTGATATCTGATTCTCTCTGTCTAATTTGGTCCAGTTTTTCAGGGTCTGTAATGACTACCTGTACACCAAGCTTCGTTTTTGGTTTTTGCAGGCTAAAGTCAAGGCAAGCAATTTTTGCATTTACGATTCTCTTGGGCATGCCCTGGGACCCCACCACACAGTTGAGTGCATAGCCACTGATGAGCATACTCTCTGTTTGACTTCTCCCATGGGTTTTCAAAATATTAACAGAATTGACTGGATAGCGTGGCTGGCCTCTTGTGTCTGTGTATTTAATAGCAAGTACAGCATCTACTACCATGTTAGCAAAGAAATCACCATTTATTCCAATGATTTTGGAAGACATGGATGTCTTAGCAGCATTAATCAGGCAATCTCTTCCCAGTTCGTCTCTGTTAACAATTAGGTTTTCATTGATATAACACACTGCTTCCTTGCAAGCAAGTCGATAGCCACTAATAACTGATGTGGGATGAATTTTCTGTCTGACTAATTCATCTGCATTTTTTAGGAGTTCTGCGGCAATAATAACCACTGACGTAGTTCCATCTCCAACTTCTTTGTCTTGCAGATCAGCTAGCTCACAAAGAACTTTAGCTGCAGGATGTTCAACTTCCAGTAACTTCAGGATGGTTGCACCAGCGTTAGTAATGGTTACATCACCAATATCATCCACAAGCATTTTATCCAAGCCAACTGGACCTAGAGAACTTTTTACAATATTGGCAATGGAAGCTGCAGCCATAATAGGAGTCTAAATGGGGCGGACACTGTGGCTCACATCTGTAATCCCAACACTGAGATGCCGAGGCAGGAGGATAGCTTGATGCCAGGAGTTCGAGAACCCCTTGGGCAACACAGCGAAACCCATTTCATTCTGGTAGCGGATCGCTTCCCCAGCGCTGCGGTCACGGTACACGGACAAAGCCCCTCCATCTTCGCGGCAGTGATACACATCGAATTCTGCTCTCACCACGAGCAACCAGTATCGCGGCCCCTGGCGGATCACGGCAGTGGCTGCGACGGCCTGGAGCATACCCGAGCGATGCCCCAGGAGCTGCTGGGTAACACCGCCCTACCCGCTTCCCAGCTGCCCTGGCCTGAAATATAAATTTTTATTATTTCTATTCTGCTGCCTTATATCCCAATTCACAAAAATGGGTATATAGTTCAAATCTGGTTTTAGTGTAGTCATAGTGCTGAAATCAGCATTATAAATTATATAACTCAAAATAACTGGAAGCATAAATAGCAAACAGGGCTCTAGTACTAATTTTTTAAATAAATCTGCATTTGCTGGGATAAGTGACTCTGTGGGTAAAATGATTTTTCCCACGCAGCTGAAAGTGGGAAGTATAAACAGGAAGTAGGACAATGAATCCTTTATCCAAACAATGAATTTTATTGGGTTCTTGATGCATTTATCTCTGGCCCTAATGATATCAATTGTTATGAAATTTTACCAACTAGTGGCAGGAGGTCATCAAAAGTTTTCCAACAATCTCCAAACACCAGTGAATTGTTTTCATAACAAGGGCAAATAATGCCTTCCAGGAAGAAAGCACTATTTTAACCCTAAAGACAGAGAAAAGAAAAAACTATAAGAAATATTATTCAAAGTTGCAACCTTCTTAGCAAAAAAAATAGGTGCACGTCACACTATAGCTAAAAAGGTTAATAACAGCCACAACATTAGCGATGATGTTATATTCAGAGAAAAAGCACAGCAAGTCATTGACACAATTTCTGTAATGTTAGGGGCACCCAGCAGCAATTGTTATTACGTGAACAAGCTAGTAGAGATTTTGTGTTACGCCTATAATCCCAGCACTTTGGGAAGCCGAGGCAGGTGGATCACTTGAGCACAGGAGTTCGAGACCAGCATGGCCAACATGGCGAAACCCCTTCTCTACTAAAAAATACAAAAATTATCCAGGCATGGTGGCACATGTTTGTAATCTCAGTTTCTTGGGAGGTTGAGGTATGAGAATTGCTTGAACCTGGGAGATGGAGGTTGCAGTCAGCCATGATGATCATGCTGCTGCACTGCAGCCTGAACAACAGAGCAAGACTCTGTCTCAGAAAAAAAAAAAGAATTTATCATCAGAAGGGTAGCAAAACTTAAAGATTTGGAAAATTCTTACCTGGTCATGTAAAGAATGAAAAGGTGTATTAGGAAGAGAACACTAGGGTATGGCCAGGTCACCGTTTGATAAGGATATTAGTATAGATGGACAGAAGTCAATTGTTACTCATCAAGACAAGGCAAGAAGGACCCCAGGGTTATTTCAGAGATCTTCAAGGCTGCCACTTGCATCACAGGCCCAGAGTGTCCATAGGCCTCGAGGACCTTTAGAGCAGAACAGTGGCAAATGAGGGGCTTGTGGGACCTTGGGGCTCATGCCCAGGGCTACCTCAAGTCTCTGTTCCCCACATTCTGGTGCAGTGCTCTTCAACTGCCCTAGCTGTGGCTCAAGTGGGCCCAGAGGTGGCTTAGACCACTGCTCTAGAAGGCACAAGTGGTAAACATTGGCAGTGTCTGTGCATGTCAACTCTAAAAGTGCACAGAGTGTAAGAGCTATGGAGGCACAGCTACCTCCACCTAGATTTCAAAGGATGCCTCAGAAAGCCTCAAGGCCCAGACAGAGAACAGCTACCACAGAAATCCCACAACCAAGGTAATGCCCAAATAGAGTTGTGGGGTCAGAGCCACTGCAGAGAGCCCTCATTAAGGCAATGCCTAGTAGAGCCATGGGAGTGGGGCCACAGCAGAGAGTCCCCACTAGGTCAATGTCCAGAGAGCCATGGGGTTGGGACCACTACAGAGAGCCCCCAGTGGGGTAATGCATAGTGGGATCAGGGCTGCCCCTGAGACCTGTAGAGCCATAAGCATGCAACATCAGCCTGAGAGAGCTGTAGGCATCTGACTCCAACTCCAAGAGCAGCTGTGTGGGCTGCACCCTGTGAAGTCATGGGGATGGACCTGCCTGTAGCCTTGGGAGCCCAATCCCCACCCCAGTGTGTCCAGAAGGCAGGATATGGAGTCAATGATTATTCTCAAGCCTCAAGATTTAATGTTGTTTGTCTTATGGGGTTTTGAACTTTTTGGGGGCCTATTACTCCTCCCTTCTTTCCTACTTCTTCCTTTGGGAATGGAAATGTCTGTTCTACTTGTATTTTGGAGACACCTAACTTGATTGAGTTCATGGGTTTACAGCTGGAAAGCAATTTGCCTCAGGATGAAATATACCTTGGATTCTCAGCCATGTTTGATATTGATGATATTTAGATGAGGCTCTGGACTTTAGACTTTTGAGTTGGCGCTGGAATGAGTTAAGACATGTGGGCTATCGGGATGGAATGAAGGTATTTTGTATGTGAGAAGGACATGAATTTTGGAGAACCAGCAAAGAAATGCTGTGATTTGTATGTTTGTGTTCCCTTCAAAATTCATGTTGAAACTGAATCCCCAATGCAACAGTATTAAGAGAACGTTCAGGAGGTGATTAGGCAATGAGGGCTCTCCCATCTTGGATGGGACTAATACTTTATAAAAGGGCTGGAGGGAATGGCCAGTCTTTTCCCCATATGAGGACACAGCATTCAAGGTACCATCTTGGAAGGAGAGCAGCCCTCACCAGACACTGAACTTGCCAGCACCTTGATCTTCAACTTCCCAGCCTCCAGAACCGTAAGAAATAAATTTCTATTATTTATAAGCTACCCAGTCATAGGTATTTTGTTATAGAAGCAAAGATGCATTAAGGCAGGGGGAACATGCTAATGTTTTTGAAAGACAGGTTAAGAGATTCTTTCCTGAAACTGATAGTCAGTTGAGATCATTGCTGTGTTTTCAAGTGCCTCAGTCAGCTGTATGTTCAGAGTCCTAACTAGCCTGACATTATCCCTCAGGACTAAAATATCAGTTTTTAGAGCTGAGGAGAAGATATTTTTAAATTTTTAACTGAAATATGGTAGAAAATTGTTCATTAACCATTAACTTTATTCACATATCAAGAAAAGAAACCTATTTCATATTACCGAGCATATTTTAAAGCCATAAAACACCTTATTCTCATGCTAAAAAATGATTTTCAGAATTGAATGAAAGCGAAGGATGGATTAGAAAACCATTCAGAGTCCAGTTTTTGAGAGTGATGTGCTTTAGAACTGGACATTCTGAGATTCTAATGGTTGCTTGATACTTGACAATTTACTGAATTTCTCTAAGTCTGTTTTCTCTTTTGTAAAGTGAAAAAAATAATAGCACCTTTCACATTGGCTCAAAAAAAGATTAAACAAGAGAAAACATGTAGAATTCTTGACACATTGCCTGGCATATAGTAAGCACTCAATAAATGCTATATATAATAAATAGCTATATATTAGTTTCCCTTTCAAAAGCTGGAGATAGTATTGCTGACATCAAAACTGTGGTACACCTGTTCTGTACCAATTTCCAATTGCTTTTCTTTTTGCCTTCCAGAAAGCCTGGAAGAGAGCACCTTTTACGCATGTTATGTATGTTTGTGTCTATGCACTTTGCATGTATTTTTGACACAGTGGCCCACGCACAAGGTATAGAATTCAAACAGATTTTATACAGTAGCATTTCTGAAAGTATAGTCCAGGGCTCTTACAGGGCTCCCAAGACCCTTTCCATGGGTCCACAAGATGAAAATGTGTCCATAATAAGGCTAAGATGCTATTTGCCTTTTTCACTCTAACTCTCTCAAAATTGCACAATAATGTTCTTCAGAGGCACCATGATGTGTGATATCACAAAGGACTGGGTGCAGCAGCAAACATGAGGATCCAGCTGTCTCTCCTAATCCAGACATTAAAGAGATTTATAAAAATGTCAAACAATGTCACCCTTTTCACTAGTATTTGTTTTACAAAATACAGTTATTTTTCATGTAAAATGTTATGTTAACAAATAATGGGTTTATTATTGCTATTTTTAATGAATCCATAAATACATATTTTTCAGATTTCTGTGTTAATTTCTAATACACTATTGATAGGAATTTTATTCACATAAACAAAAAATTCTTGGGGCTCTTAAGAGTTAAAGGAGCCCTGAAACTAAAAAGTTTCGGAACTACTGACATATAATGAGAAATAAGTCTCTCTCCCATTCCTAACTGTCCCCTAGGCATACAGTTTCCCTCTTTAGAGGCAACCATTGTTACCAGTTTCCTGTATGTTACATGCATATATATTTATGTGCATTACGTATTTTTTCTTTTTACAAATGGTAGTGTATTATGTGCACTAACTGAGAATTTTAAAATAGGAAAAACTAAAGTTATCATCATTTAATTACACTTTCCAACTCTTCCTTTTGCTATACACTCTTGAAAACAGGCTGTATGTCTTCCCTTCCAGATATTACTGAGGCACTCAGGACACCCGCATTTCTTTAGATATCTATCGGCCAATGACAGGGTAGTCTATGACTACCAGAAAATTTCATTTTCACTTTTCTTAATATCACTTTATCTTTGAGCTAATAAAATAGTTCTAAATGTATTCAATATCTAAATAATTCTCTCCTCTTTCAGAGTCTGAAATCCATTCTCATTATCTCTTTTTCCTTTTTTCTTTCTTGTTACTCCTCTGAGATCCCCCACAAATGAGATCTCCCATTTTTGCCATCTATATACAAGAGTTGCAGTGAAGGGCCTCCACATACACATATACAAAAACATACAAGCAAGCCTGACTTTATAATATAGCATGGATCAGAACAGAAATGTATAAAAGTCACCTTAGAGAATGAAGATCTTCTAGTCCAATATAACCCAAAAAGATGTATTCATTTATCCAAAGAAAGAATCTCTTTTTAATTATTTCTGGTGCACTATTCTTTATTCATAAGCTTTCTAACTTACTGATTTTAACTTTCTAAGTTGCTGATTCTCTTTTTAGCTTCATCTAATCTGCTATATAACTCTTCCTTTGAGTTTCTAGTGTCAATGACTACTATATTGTTCTAGAAGTTCTATTTGATTCTTTTTTCAAATCTACCTAGCTTTTCTGTTTGTCGAGCTTTGTTTCTCTTTTTTTTACTCCTTCATTGATATATTTATTCATTTTGAACATAGCTATTTTAAAGGCTTGAATAATCCCAATATCTGAAATTCCTAGCAGTTAATTCTGTGGATGTTTTGTAGGGCCTGGGTTAAGGGTAACTCCTTCCAGAGAGATTCTGCATTTGCTACTACCAGATATCCAAAGATCTGCATGTATGGTAATTTCTTCGTTTGGATGTTATTAGAGCATGTGGACAATACAAATATGAACCTCAAAACTATGTGAGAGTACTAGTATTCATTCATTAAGAAACACTTTTCTTCAGGTCAGTGTCCAGCCAAAAGTAGTCATTTTCTAGTTCTCCCTGTTCACTACTGTTGCTGCCTTTGTAGATCTCTATGCATTGGCATTTCAATTTCATTTCTACTGAACCTAAGGCCTTGTGAAGCCATTAAACCCCAAGCATTGGAGACCTACAACCTTTTCAAGTTTTCATTTTACCCTCAAGTTTTGGCCCTGGGATTTTTCCTTTCTTTCTTATAAATTCGACTATGCATTGAAAAGGATACTTGTACTTTGGCACTTCTGGGTGTTTTGCACTGGAAGAGGTGGTAATGGATAATCTAGTCCACCATATTGCATGAAACGGGAGTACTCATTATTATTTGTTGTTCAAGTGTACGTCACCTAGGACAAAACCAAATTTATCCTCCAAATTATTTTCTCTTCTCAAACCTAAATCACTGTATTTCTTCAACTTCGTAAGCAAGTGGAAAGACAGAATACATTATCAATTGTATTATTAGCAACTTAATTTCAACATTCTTCTTCTTCGTCATCTTTTT